ACACATGCACTCACAGACACATGCAATCACACACACACATGCAATCACAGACACATGCAATCACTCACACACGTGCAATCTTAGACACATGCAATCACACACACACATGAGCTCACAGACACATGCACTCGCAGACACATGCAATCACACACACACACACACACATGCATATGTGGAGATACATCCAGTCACACTGACACACAGTCAAACATACACACACACACACACACACACACACAAACACATGCAGTCACAAGACACACGCACACATAAAGCATACCCATGGACTCAGGATCCCTCTAGGCCTCCTGGCCAGGATCTTGACCAGAGAGAGTGAATCAGGCTGAGTCTTGGCACCAAACAAGAGAAAGGAGACCTGAGGCCTGGGGAGGCTGGGGTCTCTGGGAAGAGGCCGGGGCAGTGTGTGGAGGCCCTCGCCATGCTGTGGGATGGGCGGGCAGTGTGCTCTAAGGAGACCCACCAGGCTCAGCAGAGGCATGATAAGTGACCAACTGTCCTGGTTTATCTGGGGCAGTGGGGGTTCCCAGTACACGGGACTTTCCGTTGGAAAACAGGGGATGTCCTTCACAAACCAGGCCACCCCAGGGAGAAAATCCCAGCAGTGGAGAGAGGGGTCTGGTTCATTCTGGAGACCTGAAAGTGAATCATACTAAAGTATACTCCCCACCCTCCCCCTATCCCCGGCACACAGCAGGGCAGGGGGCTGTGACAGGCAGGAACCTGGTTCCCTTGAAGTGCCTGAGAACATAGGGACAATAAACGGCAGAACTCTGGATGACACCAACAGACAAAAGCTTAAGGTGTCCTTCAGAGGCTTCTGTCGCCTGTGGCTTTCCCCTTGGGCACAGCCGGGCCAGGGATCAACTCCTGAACCCGGGACTGTGGAGGAGACAACCTCTTTCAGGGCAGCCTGCGGCCCCCTTCCTGTCACTCTGAGCGTCTGCTGTCCACGAGAGCTGCCTGCTTCAGAGATACAGGTGTCCCCCATTCATTCATTCAACCAACACGCTGAGCATCCACTGTGTGACAGGCACACACCTGAGGGGGGGCGCTGACTTCACACCCTGCTCTGACAGCCCTCACCACGTAGTAAGCAGGCGTGCGTGAGCCAACGAGCCACACGAACCACACATTCCCACATCCAGACCTGCTAGAGGCTGACCAAGAGAGGAGCCGGAGCTGGTCTGCAGGAAAGATGTCCCTGAAAAAGTGGCAATTAAGCTGGAACCTGGAAGACATAGAGAAATTAGCCAGACAAAGGGGGTAGGGGCTGTTCTAGGAAGGGAGACCAGCACCGGCAGAGGCCCAGAGGCAAGAAAGAGCCTGGCACATTTGAGAACTGAAAGGTGGCCAGACGAGGTGGCTCACGCCTGTAATCCCAACACTTTGGGAGGCCAAGGTGGCCGGATCACCTGAGGTCAGGAGTTTGAGACCAGCCTGGCCAACATGGTGAAACTGTGTCTCTACTAAAAATACAAAAATTAGCTGGGTGTGGCGGCGGGCGCCTGTAATCCCAGCTACTTGGGGAGGCTGAGGCAGGAGAATCGCTTGAACCCTGGAGGCAGAGGTTGCAGTGAGCCAAGATCACACCATTGCACTCCAACCTGGGCAGCAGAGCTTGAACCCAGGAAGTGGAAGTTGCAGTGAGCCGAGATTGTGTCACTGCACTCCAGCCTGGGTGACGGCACGAGACTTCATCTCAAAAAAAAAAAAAAAAAAAGAAAGGGAAGAAGGGGGGCGGGGGGCCCAGCCAAACGGAAACCCGGGGGGGGACCGGCGCAGAGGGCCCGCTGGGGAGAGGGCCGGGGGGGGGGGGGGGGGTGGGGGCTGCAGAGTGAACCTGGTGCCTGCTTTGCACCCCGTCTTTCAGCATCACCATGAACAGGAAGGTCATTGCTTGTGATGGTGGCTGACAGGCCATTGTTGACACTGGGACCTCTTTGCTGATTGGCCCACCGAACTCCATCCGTGACATCCGGAAGAAGACCAATGCCCAGTACTTCAGTAGCGAGGTAACGAATCAGCCCCGAGGGTCACTCTGGGGTTGTCTGTACACTCCAGGACCAGCAGGACCAACCTACCCTCCCTCTCTATCTGCAGTACGTCATGGAATGTGACGCCATCCACACCGTGCCTGACCTTGTCTTCACCATCAATAGTGTCAACTACCCAGTGCCAGCCAGTGCCTACATCCAGCAGGTGAGGGGCCCAGTCCTGGGGTCCAGGCCTGGGATCCTGGGACTTATGGGAATCCTCAGGCTGCAGCTGGAGGAAGAGGCCCCGTGGAGGCCAGGCTGCACCACTGCAGACACTGCAGCATCGTCCTGGCTGGGCCAGTGCCTGCCACCAAACGAACATCGTGACAGTATAATAAAAGGCAGACTGGGACACCCAGCGTCTCCAACAAATGTTGAGAGATGGTCACCCCGTGCCAGCATGGTGCTAGCACCCAGGAGGAAGGAACCCTAAGGGCCTCTGCCCCAAGGAGCTTTGAAGGATGAACACGGAGCATTGGCTATTGCAATCCCTGAGATCGTCCGAAGAAAGAATGACAGGCAAGGTTGGCTGTGGACAGTCTCATCATAAGTATTAACATTGCTCCTTCCCACCCCCAGATGTTCCTGGTTTGGATGATAAATTACATGGTCATCCGAGTCTTAGGCCCTCCTCCGTAAAATAGGGTCCCAGGCCCCCTTTGTGGGGTGGTTAGGATGTTGACGTTGAAAGCATATCCAGGGACCACGCAGCCCCGGACATGGAGTTGAGGGTCAGTGAATGCCAGTTCCCCAGGGAAGTCCGGGAGGGGCTGAATGGGTTAAAAGAAGGCTTTCAGGAAGAGAGAGAATTTAAAGGATTCTTTTTTTTTTTTGAGATAGAGTCTCTCTCTGTCACCCAGGCTGGAGTGCAGTGGTGCAATCTCAGCTCACTGCAAACCTCCACCTCCCATGTTCAAATGATTCTCATTCCTCGGCCTCCTGAGTAGCTGGGACTACAGGCGCACACCACCACACCCGGCTAATTTTTGTATATTTTTAGTAGAGATGGGGGTTCACCATGTTGGCCAGGTTGGTCTCAAACGCCTGAACTCAAGTGATCTGTCCATCTTAGCCTGCCAAAGTGCTGGGATTACAGGCGTGAGCCACCGAGCTCAGCCGGAACTTAAAGGATTCTAAATCCACAGTCTCACAGAGACAGGAGGAGGGCCGCTTGGGTTGGGGTCGGATCTAGGCTGGGCGCCATCCAAATGGCACCCCAGGGAATGTACAAGGCAGTGGCTCGGGGCAGACAAATCGGCAGACTAGGGCCATCTGGTGTGATGAGGGCTGGGGACACACAGGTATCGGGACCACTGAGGAAGGTCATCCAGCCCAGCCTGGGTCCAGGAAGGCTGCCCTGAGGGGCTGCTGGAGCTCAGTCTTTAGGAATGAAGGGTGCAAAGAGAAGAAGGAAAGGCAACCTCTCAAAGGGAGCATCACCAGCAAGGGTCAGGAGAGACACAGCAGTGTGAGGGCAGCCACAGCAGTTCTGGGTCCTTGGTGGGCAACCCACTTCTGCTAGGACAGAAGAGAGCCACTTGACTCCTGCGAAAGGAGGGAAATGAAGCTAAGCAGCTTCCAGTTCTGGATGTGGAGGGAGGTGGCAGGGCAGGACTCAGGCTGACCATTAAGTGTTTCCATCCTCTGCAGGATCGTCCGGACATCTGTCACAGCAAGTTTGAGGAGTACGTTAACAAATCGCACAACACTAACACCTGGGTCCTGGGAGACGTCTTCCTGAGGCTGTATTTCAGCGTTTTTGATCGGGCAAAAGACAGGATTTGCCTGGCTCCTGCAGTGTAAAATGCAGGCACTTCTCCAGAAAGCAATCAAGCCTGCCTCAAACACATACTTAAACACCCCGGAGGGGATTCCAGCAGGGGTGGGGTTGGGGGACGGGGCAGGGAGGGGGGCCTGACTCGAACTGTGTTTGGTGCTCGGCAAAGCCCTGTTCTCAGTGGATAATAAAAGATTTTATTTCAAATGGTGCTAACATTTATAGTTGCTTGCCTTTGGGTGAGGGAGGTGCCTGGGAAAGAGGCAGGATTCTAGAATCTAGTCTAGACCACAAGTGAGGTGTCTCACTTGCGAATAAAAAGGGAGGCTTAGGGGGCACGGTGGCTCAAGCGTGTAATCCCAGCACTTTGGGAGGTCGAGTGGGTGGATCACAAGGTCAGGAGTTCAAGACCAGCCTGGCCAAGATGGTGAAACCCTGTCTCTACCAAAAATACAAAAAATTAGCCAGGCATGGTGGCGTGTGCCTGTAATACCAGCTGCTTGGAAGGCTGAGGTGAAAAATTGCTTAAACCTGGGAGGCGGAGGTTGCAGTGAGCTGAGATTGTGCCACCTCAATCCAGCCTGGGTGACAGAGGGAGACTGTCTCAAAAAAAAAAAGCAAAATTCTGCCCCTCTCCACTTTTATCCTTTACCAACTGCAGATCAAAGAGATCTATAATCTTTGTTGAGAGAGAATGTGGAGAAAAAGATGGCTCTTATCAAAATTAAAGTTTCTCTCTTTAAAACTTTTTGGAATTGTAGGATCTCTGTGTTGTATGGGATCTCAAGAAGATAACCGAGTGAAAAGATTCCCAATTCTGGTTTTGTATCAGAGTCCTTAAGTTTGGGAGCCTTTTTATTATTCATGCATGTCACCTGGGATTCATTTTTAATCTCCTGAAAAGAATCTCAGCCTATTCTCTCTCTCTCTCTCTCTCTATACAGAGTTTCGCACTGTCGCCTGGGCTAGAGTGCAATGGCGCGATCTCGGCTCACTGGATCACTGTAACCTCCACCTCCCGGGTTCATGTGATTCTCCTGCCTCAGCCTCCTGAGTAGCTGGAATTACAGGCACACACCACCACACTCAGCTAATGCTTTGTGTTTTCAGTAGAGACCGGATTTCACTATGTTGGCCAAACTGGCCTCAAACTCCTGACCTCGCGATCCGCCCACCTCAGCCTCCCAAAGCCCTGGGACTTCAGGTGTGAGCCACCGCGCCCGGCCTTTTCTCATTATTTTTATGCTGTTTCTTAAAAAGTGAGAAGAAATTAGAGCAGGTGACTATAATGTCTATCGGTAGATTGTGTTGAGTAAATGCCCTTTGTTCTAGGTGGTATCATTACCCTGCAGTTTTTTGTTAGGGGAAGTGAAAACAGTATCAAAGTGCATTAAGAAATAAAGCACATTTGTTTTAAAGACAGCTCTTGAACACTTCTTGTGAGTGTAGATTGATACAGTCTTTTTGGAGACGATTTGTCCTTAAAATTTATATGGCTTTGGCCCAGCAGTTTTGCTGTCGGCGTTTAGGCTAATGCTATGGTCAGAAATACCCAGAAACCTGGAGGAGCAAGATGGAATGTGCAGTTTCTCACCCAGGGAAAATCTGGAACTTCCCAATGCCTGTTAAACAGTCACCCCGGCGTAGACAGCCATGCAGCCGTCTTTCTGTTTTGTTCCATTTTTGTCTTTTCCTCTTTTTTTATAGAGTGACAGGGTCTCAATATGTTGCCACAGCTGGTCTCAAACTCTTGAGCTCAAGCTGTCCTCCTGCCTTGGCCTCCCAAAGTGCTGGGATTACAGGCGTGAGTCGCCACACCCGGCCCTTGTTTTATTTTTCTTTTATTTATGTATTTCGTTTCTTTTGAGGCAGGGGCTCACTCTGTTGCCCAGGCTGAGGTGCAGTGACACGATCACAGCTCACTGCAGCATCCATCTCCCAGGTTCAAGCAGTTCTTCTCTCTCAGCCTTCCGAGTAGCTGGGCCTGCAGGCACACGCCACCATGCCTGGCTAATCTCTTTTGTATTTTTTGTAGAGACAATGTCTCATCATGTTGCCCAGGTTGGCCTTGAACTCATAGGCTCAAGCAATCCTGCCTCAGCCTCCCAAAGTGTTGCGATTACAAGTGTGAGTCACCACACCCGGCCTTTTTAAAAAAATATTTTTAGGGCCGGGCGCGGTGGCTCACGCCTGTAATCCCAGCACTTTGGGAGGCCAAGGCTGGCGGATCACGAGGTCAAGAGATCGAGACCATCCTGGTCAACGTGGTGAAACCCCGTCTCTACTAAAAATACAAAAAATTAGCTGGGCATGGTGGTGCGTGCCTGTAATCCCAGGTACTCAGGAGGCTGAGGCAGGAGAATTGCCTGAACCCGGGAGGCGGAGGTTGCGGTGAGCCAAGATGGCGCCATTGCACTCCAACCTGGGTAACAAGAGCGAAACTCCGTCTCAAAAAAAATATATATATATATATTTTTTTTAATGTGGTGTTTCTGCAGCCATCTTAAGTCATGTGACTCCAGTCTTGCTAAGCACACATCAGTGTTAGATTTCCCGCGTGTGAACACTGTGGCATTGCCCATGTAAGCAAATGTCTTTGGAGACACACACTAAAGATTTAAGAGCAAAGGATCATGATGTCTGCACAGCAAGTGGGCATACAGGGCACAGTTCAAATCCCAGCACTGATATGTACTAGTCATGTGACCTTGGAAACGTGTTTCTGGGCCCCAGTGTCCTAATCTGTAAATTTGGGATAAGAATAGACCCAGCGGGGCGTGGTGGCTCACTCCTGTAATCCCAGCACTTTGGAAGGCCAAGGAGGGCAGATCACCTGAGGTCCAGAGTTCAAGACCAGCCTGCCTAACAAGGTGAAACCTCATTTCTACTAAAAATACAAAAAATTAGCTGGGTGTGGTGGTGTGCACCTGTAATTCCAGCTGCTTGGGAGGCTGAGGCAGGAGAATCATTTGAACCTGGGAGGCGGAGGTTGCAGTGAGCCAAGATCGTGCTATTGCACTCCAGCTTGTGCAACAGGAGCAAAACCCCATCTCAAAAAAAAAAAAAAAACAAGAGAAAGAAAAAGAATGTTCTCTTCTAGTCAGGGGTAAGGGAGAGAGAGTAGGAATGTGGGCTTCTTAGGGATTGGAAATGCTCTTCGATTAAATCATGGTGATGCTTTTACAACTCCATAAACACGCCAAAGACCACTCAACTGTACACTTTAGATGGGAGAATCTATGACATGTGAAACACACCTCAACAAAGCTATTACATTTTATAAACAACAACAAAAATCACAGAAAAGAACAGTGCCTGCCTTCTACGGCTACAGTCAGGACTCAATGAATTTATCACATAAAACCTTTAGAACATGCCTGTCACCTCATAGCATGAGCTATTTCTATTTTAAACAACACCAGAAAAAGACCAAAAGGTTCAGTTAACCAAAGGATATAACACTTACTTTCTTTCTTTCTTTCTTTTTTCTTTCTTTTTTTTTTTTTTTTCTCTTTCTTTCTTTCTTTCTTTTTTCTTTCTTTCTTTCTTTCTTTCTTCTTTTGAGACAGAGTCTCACTCTTGTTGCCCAGGCTGGAGTGCAATGGTGCAACCTTGGCTTACTGCAACGTCTGCCTCAAGTGATTCTCCTCTCTCAGCCTCCCGAGTAGCTGGGATTACAGGCATGCACCACCACACCCAGCTAATTTTGTATTTTTAGTAGAGACGACGTTTCTCCATGTTGATCAGGCTGCTCTCCAACTCCCAACCTTAGGTGATCCACCCACTTCAGCCTCCCAAAGTGCTGGGATTACAGGCGTGAGCCGCACACCTGGCTGATAAACAGCCATTCTATCCAAAAGGCAACTGTATGGACAATTTTTTTCTCTCCTTATACTTTCCTGAGTTTTTTCCGTGATTGCTTTCAATATGGTGGGAAAGCTGAGCATTATTCTATAAAAGAGAGAGAAATGCCCCGAATAGAGAGAAGGCTGTATCTTTGCTGGGGTTGCTTGGGTTCCTGCTGGAGTGAATTTTTCCCCAGAGAAAAAAGGCCACTGTCAGTGGAGGACTGACCCCTAGTGGCCAAGATGAATATTACACGCATACATGCACTGGCACACACTCCGCGTGGTCTCAGACCCGCCCATTGGTTCCATCTACTTGAACGGCTACTTAGCGACATGAAACCACCGTAATATAAACTCACATAGTAAATATGTAAGTTTGTTATTATTAGCTATACATTATGTACTAGCTGTAAAGATTTTCCCCAGGGAATCTATTGCCAGTGAAAGATGGAAACCACTCCAGATTCTAACAGCAGGGAAATTGTCAATAAGAAGAAATCTGCTCCTGTCTCTTTTTCTTTTATTTATTTACTTATTTATTTATTTGAGACAGGGTCTTGCTCTGTCACCCAGGCTAGAGTGCAGTCCAGGATCTCAGCTCACCGTAACCTCTGCCTCCTGGGTTTCAGCAATTCTCCTGCCTCAGCCTCCAGAGTAGCTAGGACTACAGGCACGCACAACCATGCCTGGCTAATTTTTGTATTTTTAGAAGAGATGGGGTTTCACCATGTTGGCTAGGCTGGTCTCGAACTCCTGACCTCAGATGATCTGCCTGCCTTTGCCCCTCAGTGCTAGGATTACAGACAAGAACCACTGCACCTGGCCTGCTCCTTGCTCTTAAAGCAATGAGCGTGGATTACATCTGCCCATTCATCTAAACAAAAACACAGCCCTTTTTAATAGATATACAATTTTGATATATTACAAAAACGTTTTGTGCAGAACAGAATACAATGAAAACTGGCCTGCCTGAGTTTTTTTACGAAGGTTATATGAACTATAGAATACAGTTTCACAATAAATATCATATTTCCTAAAGAAAGTCTATAATTAATATTATCTTCTAAACAAATATTATGACTTTTAAATGTTTCCAATGACTAGACGATTATATATTTGGCTATTTTAAAATATTTCCTAGGAAGACAATGTTTTACTTTAAGGGCTATACATTTACTTTTTAAATTTTTTAAATTTGGGGCCGGGCGCAGTGGCTCACGCCTGTAATCCCAGCACTTTGG